TCCCGCACAGATTGCTATTTATTGATAAAATTCCTGCATGGAAACAGAATTCACTCGGTTTGTGGCCCCATCAGGGAAGCAGAAAGCACAGGGAAGTGATTTGGGATGTGTCTTTTTCCTTGCAGAAACCAGAGAAGACAGAACCAAGCGGCTCTTCCGACATTATACTGTGGGCTCTTACGACAACTTCACCTCTCACAGGTAAGGAGCGGCACCTTTGGCATCCCAAGGAGGTTCATTTCCATGGGAAAAGCCTCTATTTCTCCTGACAGAGCATTTTGTTTCCGCGGGAAGGAAGCTTTTCTGGTTGGTTTGGTCAGTTAGAGCCTAAATTCCAAGTGTTGGATGAGGCTGAGGTGAACAGGGAGCCTGGCTCGTGGCTCAGTTGAGGGTCAAACATTCTGGAGAAGTTTTGGGGTTCTCCAGGGGCCGAAGGACCCGGTTTGGGTGCAGATGCAGCTTTGCTGTGAGGGGGAGAGGAGGAGGTCGGGGTGCGGGGGTGGCCTGAGGGCACCAGAGCGCTTGGATATGCTGGGGGTGTTCCTGGGCTTTGAAGTGTTCTCTGGGGGTATCCTGGGATGTGGCACCTGAGCAAACTCCCCCTGGCCTGGCGCCAGAGCTTTGGGAAGATGGTCCCAGTGCCCAGGGAGGGAGCTGGGGCAGCAGAGGTGACGCTGCCGGATCTCTGTCCCGAGCGCGCGGCTGTCGGACGTGGCCGGGATCTGGGAAGGGTTGGATTCAGGAGTGCTCTGTGGCACTGGGGGTTCTGTGTTTGGGGGAGGAACGCTGGGACACTCTGGAATGAGCCCTTCAGAGCTGCTGTTGATGGAAGGAGCAGGCCAGGGGTTGTTGTTTGTGGTGTGACAGGAGCGAGTCGTGAGGAGCCCTTGTGGGAAAATGAGCTGCTCTCCACAAAGTGTGTCCTGCCTGACTGAGCTGCTCATCCCACATCTGTCTCCCTGGCTCTGCTTTGACTCCAAGGAATGTGTGTGGCTCGCCTGGATTTCCAGAAATTCCAGGATCTGCTGTTTCAGGGCTTGTTGATCCCGGAGCGAGAGGGAAAGTGGCTCAGAAAACACTAAAGAAGAGAAGAAAAGGGGGGAAATGATCCACTTGCACCGTGGCCAGAGGCTCCAGGGAATCCCCAGGAGGTCTGTGCTGGGGTCACTGGTGGCTCTTGGACTTAAAGAGCAGGAAAGGGGTGAAAAATCGAAAATGAGTCAAACTGATGTTCTCTGAGTGAAGGAAGAGCAGGTGGGTGGGATTGGATCAAAACGGGGTTGACAAACAGTGTGACAGTAAAAGAGATTTATTTTGGCACAGGGAAGGGAACACACACTCCAGCAGAAACACTGTGAGGAGCTCTTGCCCAGGATTTGCGATTCCTTAGGAATAAAGGTCTGATGTCACCGTGACATCACAGGGCAAGGCATCTGCTGGAGTGCTGAGGCTGCAGGGCCAGCCCAAGGAGGAGCTCAGAAAGTGGAATTGGAGCAGCTGGGGAGGAGGGTCCTGATATCCAGCTGAATCCCAGCATGGAAAGATGAGAAGCAAATTACGGGAAGGGGGGAAGAACCAGGGGTGGGATGTCACGTGCAGGGAGGTGCTGTTGGACTGACTCCTGCTCAGCGTCTGGGGATGGCTTTGATGCCAGGCCAAACCTCCAGAAGCAAATGGAGTTTGTGGAATTGTTTGGAAAGGAAAAAAAAAAACAATCAGAATTGTGAATTAATAATTATGGATAACATGGAATCGCAGAATGGTTTGGGTGGGGAGGGACGCGAAAGCCCATCTTGTTCCAACCCCAGGGACACCTTCCACTAGCCCAGGTAGCTCCAAGCCCCTTCCAGGGGTAACCACAACCTTTTTTGGGCAAGCTGAGCGTGTTCTTTGAGCGAGAAAGGTTGGACTGGGTGACCTCAGGGGTTCCCTTCCAAGCTCCAGAGTTCTGGGAGTCTCCTGGTGCAGCTTCTGAGCCTGTGGTGGGGGGAGGGTGCTGGGAAGGAGGGTGGAATGATGCAGGATGCAAAGCCTCTTCTGGACCCCAGTCATCCCTGTCTTCTTGCAAATCCAGTCGGTCTTGGCATTCCCAGGCTGTCCATGGAACGGTTTGGGTTGGAAGAGACCTTAAAGGTCATGTCCTTCCAAGCCCAGTGCGAGCAAAGTCCAGGTGGGGCCTGACTGGGACCTGCTGACACCCACAGATCTTGGTGGGTGACCTGGAACTGATGGGAGGGTTTGAGCTGCACCCCCGTGGTGTGGTGGGGTAGCTGTGGAGCTCCACCAGGAAGCTGGAGTTGCTGGTGGATCCTGGTGGATCCTTCCCAGCTCAGGCAATCAAAGCACGAGGAGCTGGAGCTGCAGGTCCCTCGGGTCGGGACCGTGCTGGCCCGTGGCAGGTGCTTTGTGCAGGTCTGGGAACAGAATAAAACACTCAGTGTCCTGCTCAGATTTTTCCCCATGATTTTTTAACCCTGAACCACCTGGGCCAACAGATCCCTCGGGAGCAGAGTTGAGAAGCAGCGAGGGTGCTGTGGGATCGCTGCAGCACGTCAGCAGCACCATTTCCAGGAGGGAGCTCATCCCATCATCCCCAACTTCACTTCAGGTCTCAGACGTGGGAGAGGATTAACATAATGACAGTGCTTGAGGAGCAACTTAGAAGTGCTTGAGAAAATTACACACCAGTGGGTTTAGATCCCAGGGAAAGCTTTGGAAGCTGTGCCAGGGCTGGATGGATGCCCCGGGAAGCGGAGCAGGGAGCGGCACCCCCCGGCTGGCCGATGGATCCGGGTATGGGATGTGATTTACTCTTTTGGGCTTAAATGAGGTGAAAAGAGAGCTTGGGATGCGCGGGGTGTTGGGGAACACGAGCAGATATCGGGCTGCGTCCTGAACAAAAGTCGGAGCTTTGGGTGTGGAATTGGCCCTCTGGAGCAGCAAAGCCTTTGAGTTGTGACTTCACCACGGAGGGTCGGGGTGAGCTGGGGGAGAGACTCCCCTTGGACGGGTTCCTTATTGCACCTCTCCCTGATGTCACCCCGAGCCACAGCTGCTGGTAAACACCAAGCACGAGGCCTCTCCAAAGCCTGGGCTGCACCCAAGGTCACCAGAGGGCAACCAGAGCCTCCCCCACCCTCCGAGGGTGAGGAGGGACAGGGCTGGGCCAACCTCGCTGGTCCCACAGGTCCCTCCCAGCCCGGAATATTCCGGGGCTCTCGAACCTGATCCGGGCTGAACTCGGCACGAGGCAAACGGGGAGGGGAAGCCTGAGCTTTGTCCTTATCAGGGAGAGGCGATCCCAAGGGGAATTGAGTTCTCTTGATGAACCGTGTTGCGGGAGGAGATTAAAGGGATCCGAAATTGCCTCCGAAATGAAGAGCCCGCCCCGTGGCCGGCACAGCTGGGAGGGAGAAGAACTGGGAGCGAGAAACAATTCAGGATTGATTTGTTCCTATTATTCAACCTCGAGGATTAGTTGGCCAGGGAGGGAGATTACAGCCACGAGTATCCACAGGCCATCTGGATGGGCCTCCCCTGGAAAAGAGGGAAAACAGGAGGGATGTCTGAGCAGGGATTTCTCTGCCCTCAGATGCTGTGCCTGGCCTAAAATAATGCGCAGAATTATGGAATAATCGGGGTTGGAAGGGTTGTCTGGAGGTTTCTGGCACAGCTGGTGACCCAGAGCGGGTTTCTTCACATGGCTTCACAAGGCTGGAAGTTCCACAGGGCCCAGGAGGGCTGAGTTTTGAGGGGGAAAAAGCTTTCCATGCAGTATCTCCTTCGAATCCTTGGTGCTTTGGTTTGTGTTGTTGCCTCTTATCCCATCCCTGGGGGTCCCTTTCTCTCACTGCAGCAGTGAGGTGTCCACCATGGAATTGTTAAGGTTGGAAAAGACCTTTAGGACCACAACCATCCCGAGTGCCACATCCACACGTTTTGTGAACACTTCCAGGGATGGGGCCTCCACCACTGCCCTGGGCAGCCTGTGCCAGGGCTTTACAACCCTTCCCATGAAAAAAAAAAATTCCCTAATATCCAATTTAAACCTCCCTGGCTCAACTTGAAGCCGTTTCCTCTCATCCTATCACTTGTTCCCTGGGAGGAGAGCCCTTCCATATTTCCTGTCTGCTCTGGCCTGTCATTCCCTGTGAGTTCAGGATTGCTGGTAGGGCTCCTGAGCAGTTGGAATTCTCCCCATTTGCTGCTCCAGTGAGTTCCCATCCAGGAGGGCAACAGCAAAGAGGGGGGAACGGCATTGAGTTTTCCCATTGTTCTGTCTCCGTGAATGACGAGAGAGCAGGAGAGGATCCGTGTTCCAGGCAAGGCTTGGCCTCAGGGATGGCCAAAAACACCCCTGGAAAGGGAGTTTCATGGTCAGAAATGAATTTTTTGGGGGGGGGTGAATTTTTGGTGAATGTTGTGGAACTGGAGGCGCCGTCTGAGCTGGTGGGGAGGGTCCCTCTTCGCAGTGGCTGTGGGATGGGGTTCACACATCAGGCCCATCTCCCTGGGAAAGGCAGTTTGCACTGGGCTGGTGCAGCATCATCTCCATGGCAACAGGAGAGTGGAGGGAGGGAATGAAATCTCTTCCTGAAAAGGATTCTCTGTAATCCCACTTGTCACATCAACGTGCTTTAGGAAGAGTCTGCTCAGATCTCCTGTGAGCAGCATCTTCTGGGACCACTTTCCTCCTTCAGAGAGAGCTACAGGAACATCAGAGAACTGTGGGATCATGGAATGGTTTGGGTGGGAAGGGACCTTAAAGCCCATCCAGTACCACCCCCTGCCATGGGCAGGGACACCTTCCACTGGCCCAGATTGCTCCAAGCTGGCCTGGGACACTTCCAGGGATCCAGGGGCAGCCACAGCTTCTCTGCCCAACCTGTGCCAGGGCCTGCCCACCCTCCCAGCCAGCAATTTATTTCTAATATCCCATCTAAACCTGCTCTCTTTCCCACAGAGTGAGGAAAGTGAGTCCCTCTGTCCTCTCAGGTGTCCTTGTGCCAGAATGCTCTGAATTTCCCTGAAATTTAGAGTTTCAGAACTGGTGGGTGATATGAGGCCTCATGGCCTGTTTTGTCCAAGAAATAGGATCACTTCCCATCCCTGGGAGTGTCCAAGGCTGGGTTGGACGGGGCTTGGAGCAACCTGCAAGCCAAGCCCTGGATCCCGGGAAGGCATTTTGCTCCCAAACCTTC